AGTCATATGGATATTATCCTATCACTGACAGCATTGTACTTCAGGACAGATCTTGAAACATCCTTTGTGATGATGAATGCCACACTGTTCCTCTTTAAACTGTCTTCCCAGCATAGTAGATCATATGGTTGTCTGATTCAAAATGGCCAAAACCAGTTCATTTCAGCTCACAAATGCAGAGGATATCAATCTTTATGTGTTCCATTTCATTTTGACAACTTCCAATTTTCCTAGATTCATGCTTCGTACATTCCAAGTTTTGATTATTAATGGATGTTTGCAGCTGTTTCTCCTCCACTGTACAAGTTTCTAAATCCCAGCCTAGTACCATCATTCAGTACATCTAATGAGAAGCCTGGGAAAGAAGAGATGCCAAATGTCCAAATGTCCATCAGTGCATCTTGAGTCCTACCTTGCTGCAGTGTGTGACTCAAGTCACCACCCATTTTGTGATCTATTGTTAAATCCTAGTCTCTATGCCTGTTTGGGAGCTCAAGTCACCACTCTTAGCTTCCTTGACGGTATGTATGTGAATGTTCTGGGAAAGTTCACTCTATTGCTCCAATTCTGTGTTTGGTTTGTCATTATCTTACCCCAAACCTGGGACAGCAGCCATCATCTGACCCACCAATTTGGGTTCACCAGCCCCTGCAACGTGATTTGGGAGAATCCTCCAGATTTACCCACAGATCTGGGACTTGCCAGCCCGCCACCCTCCCTCACCCCTACATGAGCCGTTTCCTTGGAAGTCTGTGAGTTCTGTGAGACGTTAAGTGAACTACTGAACCCTAAGACAGGAGGGAGATTACTGAGGAGAGAGGAGAAGTTGATGTCAGACATAATGAAGTTGCAGGGCAGTTTGGAAAAGCTGGACATCTTTAACCTCCGCCTCATAAAGACTGGCCTTGTGTTAATCCTTCTAAAAGAAACTATTCAAGCATTCTGGAAGAGATCTTCGCATGAGTAGTAAACCTATCTAAACCTGTAGAGTGATCTGGCTTCAGCCCTTAAAGTCCACAACCAGGCAGAGGGCACTTCTGGTTGAATTTCAAAATCCAGCACAGAGCCCAGCAACCATGTGGTTTAAAACAGATGTAAAGCAGTACTTTAAAACACACGTCAAGCACTCTACTGATCCAATGAAAAAACTGTGCACCTTGACCTGTCTCTAGGACACTGAGCTACAGGTTCTCTCCAGTGTGCGGGATTATACATATCCCTTCAGGCCATGTTCTTAAGAAATAGTGACATCTGAACAATTAATTACATGACTACTGTATTTAATCATTTCTTTCTTCATATACAACTAGAGTTGTGATAAGTGAATTAATAAATACAAAAAAAGAATTAGAACCACTGAATTTTAAAAACTATTTTGGTTCAGGAGCACACCTGAATTTATTTAATAATAAATAAATGTAGACAAACCTCATCTTGCAGGGAACAATAAGCCTGTCATTAAACTGGACTGTTTAAAATAACTGTCACCTAAAATCAATGCACAATCTTAAGTTAGTACTTTAAAAAAATAATAAACTACTACTACTAATTCTAATTTCAAGTTTGAAACATATGTAGTCTTAATACTATTTGTTAAGGATGCTCATTCAAACTGCATGCTACACTGAAATAGCTGCATTCAATACTAAATGTACTTTATACTTATGTGACACAGGACTGACCTATCACTTACCCTTTCTGCAGCTTTTTGCCTCATCTATTAACTAAGGTAGATGAATTAATCAGTAGTTGTAAACTTATTTCTGGTCACAGACTCCTTTGAGATGCAATGAAAGCTATAGCCCTTCTCAGAAAGAACAAACATAAACACACATACAAAATTGTACTCACAATTTCAAAGTGTTCACAGACTCCCCGAAGTCTTAAAATCAATGGTTCCTAAGGGTCTACAGAATTCTCGGGCTGAGAATCTCTAAATTAGATTGGTCTTAAAAGGACCACTCTATCTAAAATCATATCATCCTAAGAAGACCAAACAAAATATTATACCAAGATCTTAAAACAAAATGGAAAAAAAAAGAAAAAATTTTAAGTGAAAGATCAAGCAATTTACAGTAAAGACACAAGAATTTACATACGTACATCTATGCATCTGTATAACTTGGAGAGACAGACAAGAGTTCTTCGAACTGTAGGATACCACATGCCATGAAGATCTGCAGGAGAAATTGTGGTCTGGGGTCTAGGATTGAGGGATTCTGTGGAACCTAAAATCCAAATGGAGAAGACACATTTTATATAGACGGATGTCAAAAATAAACTGAATGGCATCTATAAAATGCTCTCATTAGCTATCAACACAACTGGAGGGCATCAATTTCTTCTAGCCTCACCTTTAATCAAGATCCCATAACAATCTAAATCAGTGACAGGTAAGATTTAACAAAGCAAGTGAGAACACACGTGATATATATACATATATGCAATCCACGCTTATATATATGCTCAACTCAAAGTGCTTTTCCCTAACTGTAGTCAGTTAATCTTTGTGAAATGAATGAAGAGTACACTCATATTATGAAATACCATGCAGCCATTAAAAAAGAAGGCAGATCCACATGTGATCACATGAAAGCAAGTGAGAGCCAGTGAAGGTGGGGGAGTAACAAGAAAACAAAGCACCTATAAACAGAAGATTAGTCAAATCTAGCTGGCCTGACAGCCTGTCCCTCAGGCTTTGAGTCACATCACTAACAGGCCCAGTTAGCATATCCAATTTCCAAGTGACCAAAGATGGTTTCCCCTACAGCTTCAGGCAAGTGTGAGAAGGACCAGGTGGAGGTGCAGTTGAGCAGAAGAGAAACCTTTGTAAAGGAAGCCCAATCACTTCTGGGGTCAAGAGACCAAATTTCAAACGAGCCATGCAAGTGGAGTTAGCACGATATACATTTTGGAGACAAGAAAGGATATTTAAATATGAACTGGGTATTAGAGGAAATTTTAAAAATTTTGTTACTGTGATAAGAAGTTATTTAAGAAATGCCCTTATTTTTTGGATAGGTATAAAGTGGGACTGATATGATTAGCAAAAAAATAAGTAAAGAGAGAGAGTTACTGTCTTAAATCCAGATGGTGGGTATGGGTGGCCATCATTCACAATATCACATCATTCTTTCTACTTGAAATTTTTTTCAATAATAAAATATAATAGCACATCCATGATATACTAAAAAAACCAAACTCAACCGCTATCGAGTCAATTCCACTCATAGCGACCCCTCCTTGGGTTTCCGAGGCACTATCTTTATGGATACTGCCGATACAGATACGCCAAGGAGTCATCCGTAGGGACCCAGGTGAGGAGAGGGAACCCAGGCCACGCCCCAAAAGCAGCAAGGCGGGAAAGCAGGGAGAGGACAGAAAAGGGAAAGGGGACCAGAACAGATCGAAGAGTCAGCCGCAGGGATCCAGGCGAGGAGAGGGAACCCAGGCTATGCCCCACAAGCAGCGAGATGGGAAAGCAGGGAGAGGACAGAAAAGGGAAAGGGGACCAGAACAGATCGAAGAGTCAGCCGCAGGGATCCAGGCGAGGAGAGGGAACCCAGGCTATGCCCCACAAGCAGCGAGATGGGAAAGCAGGGAGAGGACAGAAAAGGCAAAGGGACTGGAACAGATCGAGGAGTCAGCCGCCGGGATCCTGATAAGGGTGGTTGGAGAGGTTTCCAACAGCTAAGGGAGACAAACTTGTCTGTCGGTTTGTCCTACTGTGGGGACGAGTTACTGTGAGTCTTCAGGCTGTGGCACTGCTGTTTCAAACCCAGTGGGATGCAAAAGGTACACAGGTATCAGCCCGGCTTGCAGACCGAGACAGACTAGGAAGAAGGAAGAGGCCATCCACTTCTCAAAGAATTGGCCAGGGAAAACCTTATGAATAACAGAGAAACACTGCCTGATACATTACTGAGCAACTTTATGAATAGTCCAGAAAAACTGTCCAATACAGAAGAGGAAGATGAGTCACTTAGCTTAGAAAGTTCTCAAAGTAGGACTGGGCAAGAGCTGCATTATCAGAGTAAAATGAGCCTTACCCATATGGATAAGGTAAAGCTTTCGAGACCTCCATTTTCTGATGTGGCACCACTCAAATTGAGGAGAAACAGTGGCAAACATCCATTAATAATCGAAACATAAAATGTACGAAATATGAATCTAGGAAAATTGGAAGTTGTCAAAAATTAAATGGAACGCATAAAGATTGATATCCTAGGCATTAGTGAGCTGAAATGGACTAGTTTTGGCCATTTTGAATCAGACAACCATGTGATCTACTATGCTGGGAACGACAGTTTAAAGAGGAATGGCGTAGCATTCATTATCACAAAGGATATTTCAAGATCTGTCCTGAAGTACAATGCTGTCAGTGATAGGATAATATCCATATGCCTACAAGGAAGACCAGTTAATACAACTATTATT